AAGGGAACAATCCAAGAGGAGGATATAACCATCATCAACTTATATGCCCCAAATATCGGTGCACCCAGATATGTTAAACAAATGCTCTCAAACTTACAGAATAAAATAGATCCCAATACGATAATACTAGGAGACTTTAACACGCCACTCTCACCAAAGGACAGGTCTACCAACCAGAGGATTGGCAAAGAAGCTACCGAATTAAGTGAGGCCATACTTCAAGCGGAATTAACTGACATCTACCGAGTATTTCACCCTAAAACAACACAGTACACATTCTTCTCAGCAGCTCATGGAACTTTCTCCAAAATAGACCATATCATAGTTCATTCAAGGAACTTAAGCAAATACAAAGGGATCGACATAATCCCCTGTATCCTATCTGACCACAGTGGAATCAAGCTAGCTCTCAATAACAAAGCATACCGCAGAAATTTCTCTAATACATGGAAATTGAACAGCACACTCCTTAACAAGGCCTGGGTAACAGAAGAGATCAGAGAAGAAATAAAGCATTTCCTAGAACTCAATGAAAATGAAAACACCTCACAAAGAAACTTGTGGGACACAGCAAAAGCAGTCCTGAGGGGCAAATTTATTGCCCTCAGTGCCCACATCAAGAGAATGGAGACAGACCAAGTAAATAATCTCATGTTGCAACTAAAACAGCTAGAAAAACAAGAAAAAATGGGACCTAAAGCTACTAGACGAAGCCAGATAACCAAATTGAGAGCAGAGATTAACCAATTAGAAAATCAGAAAACCATAACCAAAATAAACCAAACAAAAAGCTGGTTCTTTGAAAAAATAAACAAAATTGATGGCCCGTTGGCAAGATTAATTAAAAAAAGAAGAGAGGAAACCCATATTAATAGGATTAGGGATGCCACGGGAAACATCACAACACGTACCCAAGATATCCAAACAATTCTAACAGACTACTTTCAAAAGCTATACTCTCTAAAGGAAGAAAATCTGGCGGAAATGGATGCATTTTTAGAGAAATACAAGTTACCCAAACTGAGCAAAGAAGAAGTTAACCAATTAAATAAGCCAATATCCTATAATGAGATACAGGAAGCTATCAAAAGTCTTCCAACAAAAAAAAGCCCAGGACCAGATGGATTCACAGCAGAATTCTATAAGACCTTTAAAGAAGAACTAATACCCATACTCCTCAAGCTCTTCAGAGAAACAGAGAAGGAGGGAGCTATCCCAAACTCATTCTACGAAGCCAATATCACACTCATCCCCAAACCAGGCAAAGACCCAACCAAAAAGGAGAATTACAGGCCAATCTCCTTGATGAACACAGATGCAAAGATCCTTAACAAGATTCTAGCTAACAGAATCCAGAAACACATAAAAAAAATAATACACTATGATCAGGTAGGCTTCATCCCAGAGACACAGGGATGGTTTAACATACGTAAGTCAATAAATGTAATCCAGCATATCAACAGAGCCAAGGTCAAGAATCACATGATTATCGCCACAGATGCAGAAAAGGCCTTTGATAAAATTCAACATTCATTCATGCTAAAAGCTCTGGAGAAAATAGGAATAGAAGGAACATTTCTAAAAACAATAAAAGCCATTTATGACAGACCAATAGCCAATATTATACTTAATGGGGAAAAGCTACAACCAATCCTCCTAAAAACAGGAACAAGGCAAGGATGTCCACTGTCTCCACTCCTCTTCAACATAGTCCTAGAACCCTTAGCCAGGGCAATAAGGCAAGAAAAAGACATTAAAGGGATCCGCATAGGGAAAGAAGAAGTGAAACTATCCCTTTTTGCAGACGACATGATACTATACCTCCACGATCCCAAAAACTCCATCCCCAAACTTTTAGAAATCATAAGTCACTTCGGCAAAATAGCAGGATACAAAATAAACCCACAAAAATCAGTTGCCTTCCTATACACTGATAACGCACAGGAAGAGAGGGAAATAAAGGGAGCAACCCCATTCACAATAACCTCCCAAAAAATAAAATATTTAGGAATTAACCTAACCAAAGATGTAAAAGAACTATTTAATGAGAACTATAAAAAGTTAAAGAAAGAAATTGCAGAAGACACTAGGAAATGGAAAGACCTCCCATGCTCCTGGATAGGCCGACTTAATATAGTAAAGATGGTGATACTTCCAAAATTAATATACAAATTCAATGCAATTCCTATTAAAATCCCAATGACGTACATCACTGAAATACAGAAAACAGTCCAAAAATTTATATGGAACAACAAAAGACCTAGAATAGCCAAAACAATTCTAGGGGATAAAGACAATATGGGAGGGCTATCCATGCCGAACTTCAAACTCTACTACAGAGCTATAATCACAAAGACAGCATGGTACTGGCACAAAAACAGACCCGAAGACCAATGGAACAGAATAGAAGATCCAGATATAAATCCACAGGCCTACAGCCAGCTGATATTCGACAAAGGAGCCAAAGACATACAATGGAAGAAACACAGCCTCTTCAACCGCTGGTGCTGGGAAAACTGGGCAGCCACATGCAGAAAACTAAAAGTGGACCCCAGCCTATCACCATGCACCAACATCAACTCAAAATGGATTAAAGACCTTAACATTAAACCTGAATCTCTGAAACTACTGCAGGACAGAGTAGGAGAGACACTTGAACTAATAGGCACAGGAAGGAACTTCCTGAACAGAGTCCCAGGGTCACAACAAGTTGGAGAGAGACTCGACAAATGGGACTACCTTAAAATAAAAAGCTTCTGCACAGCTAAATCTATCGCAACTAAGCTAGAAAGACAACCAACTAATTGGGAAAAAATATTTACCAGCAATATATCAGACAAGGGGTTAACATCCTGTATATACAGGGAACTCAAGAAACTAATCCCTCCCAAACCTAACAAACCAATTACTAAATGGGCAAGGGAACTAAAGAGGGACTTCTCAAATGAAGAAATAAAAATGGCAAAGAAACACATGAGGAAATGTTCATCATCCCTGGTGGTGAAGGAAATGCAAATAAAGACAACCCTGAGATACCACCTTACCCCAGTCAGAATGTCCCACATCCACAAATCAGCCAACGACAAATGCTGGAGGGGATGTGGAGAAAGAGGAACCCTATTACACTGCTGGTGGGAATGTACACTTATACAACCACTTTGGAAAGCAGTCTGGAGGGTCCTTAGAAAGCTAAAGATTGACCTCCCTTACGACCCAGTCATACCACTTCTAGGCATCTACCCTGAACAACAGGAACCAATATACAAGGACACGTGCACCTCCATGTTTATTGCAGCACTGTTCGCAATAGCTAGGATATGGAAACAACCTAGGTGCCCCACCACAGATGAATGGATCCAAAAATTGTGGTATCTATACACAATGGAATATTATGCAGCCATTAGAAATGACAAAATAATGGCATTTGCAGGGAAATGGATGGAGCTAGAAGGAATCATGTTGAGCGAGGTAAGCCAAGAACGAAGAGACAAACGGTACATGGTCTCCCTCATAAGTGGATGCTAAATCCAAAAGGTTAGTGATACGACAAAACTAACAGGACTTAAGAAACAAAGAACTCCTGCTCATCTGGTTGAACCACTACTAAATATCCTCATGCTGCTGATCACAAATATGGTATATAACATGTGAACACTGTTATATATTACAGACTGTGGTAGACAATTTGCTCCAGGGAAGTTAGAATGAACTTGTGACTTTGAAATTATGTAATCATTTAATCACAATCAAAAAAAAAAAAAAAAAAAAAAGAACCTCGGGGAAGGGAGGGAGGGAGGGGATGGTAGGGGGAAAACAATGGAGGGGGTAACAATGTTCAAGAGGAAGTGTACTCATAACCTCACTCATGTAACTGTGACCCTCTGTATAGTAGCTTTACAATAAAAAAAAAAAAAAAAAAAAAAAAAAAAAAAGACGCTAAAAAAAAAAAAAAAAAAAAAAAAAAAATAATCTTGTGTCTCTAGAGGTCAGTGTGGCTTAAAGAAATATTGTTCTGCTTCATTTCAAACTACATTGAATTAACATTTAGTTCAAAGCACTTTAATCAATGTGATGATAAAAATAATGACCCAAGGGAACAGAAGTCAATTAAAATTACAACCTCTACAAACATTAACTTATACAATGATATTCATTTTGGTACATAGAACTTTTTACTGAGCCCATGGACTTCAATATTCTTGGAAATATTTTAAGTATTTTTCCCTTTATCATGGAAATTGTTACCATTTTTGTTTAAAAAATACATGAATTATTCTTGTAGTTTCCTTTTAGAAATTGCTTTATGCCTCTATTCAATGCTATTCAGATAGACACCTTTGACAAGCCATATTAATTCTTCATGAAGTTGATTTGATGCAATTATATGTATATTTTCATATTTATGTTGTGTTTAAAGAAGAGGCATTATGAAATTCTTGGGATGTAGAGACTTGTCATGGGTTAACTAGGATGCTATTGAAAAATCTATTGTAGCTCTATCACAACTATCTGCTCTAATATCCACCACACTTTTAAGACTTCTTTAACTCTCTAATTTCTTCTTCTTCATCTCTTCCTGTCTTGGTTTATTGGGATAATATAAAGGTGAATTGCTGATAAAATTGTAGATTTGGTTAGAATTCTTAGGTGACTTCATTTATTAAATACTCTTTAATGAACACATAGTAATGGTGGGAAGAAAGGAGAGAAGACAAGTTTTTATTATTTTAGGGATGAGCATCTGCAACGTGAACAAGTATTCCCATGGGCCACAGCCTGAACAGTTTTGCTATTATTCTTTTGTAATCTATAATCAAATACATATTAGTAATTACATTAATATATAACCATGTAATATATAATATGGAATAATTACATTTGTTAGAGATTATATTTATTTGATTATATTTGTTGTAGAATCCATTATTGCATATTGTAGAAACAGTAAGGAAGAGCTGGCTAGAGCATCAACATGCTGAAGGCAATAGAAAGCAATATCAAGTATTTGCTACAGCAACATATACTGTATACTAAGATTGAAATGATGCAGAGATTAGCATGTCTCCTGTATAAGGATGACAAACAAATTGCTGAAGCATTCCATATTTTAAAATATTGCAAATGTGGGCTGGGAAGATGGCTCAGTGGTAGAGTGCTTGCCTTGCATGCCTGAGGCCCTGGGTTTGATTCCTCAGCACCACATAAGCAAAATGAAAAAAGCCGGAGGTGGCGCTGTGGCTCAAGTGGTAGATCGCTAGCCTTGAGCTGAAGAGCTGAGGGACAACGCCCAGGCCCAGATTTCAGGCCCCACTACCGGACCCCCCCAAAAAAAACAAACAATAAAATATTGCAAATGTATGTCTACATGGCAAGAAAAATAACAATCAAATGTGTAGATCCAAACTCTCAATTTCTAGAAGTCTGGGACCGCTTAGAATATAAAGAAATGCCTATATATACTTTAATAGCTCCTAAGAGATTATTGTTTGTCTCCTTAGTCCATATGTAAGGAACTCATTTAGTGTGCAGAGCAGTTTTGTAGTTGTAGGAGATATTGTGAGATATTTAACAGATTCCAGTTCACAATTTGATGCAGCATATCAGTAAGGTTCTAGAAAATATTAGAAATATGCAGAGGAGGAAGGATCTGGAGTGATAGGAAAATAGTTAGTGGGAAGCTATTTTTCAGATCCAGTATCCTTTGAGTTTACACCCTACTTTGATTTTTAAGTGTAGCCATGTAAATGAGTTCTAGCCATGTAATATTGTCAGTCCCACGATATGTGCTATTTTCAGGCCTAGTCTATAAAACTCTCCTAATCATTATCCTTCCTCTTCTTGCACTAGTGACACTGGAAGCCAAGTATCAAAGTTAAGCAGAATCCGTGTAAGAATCTATATTCCTGCATCAAGAGAAGAGCTGCTTGACTATCATGAAGAAACAAACTTCTGCCAAGCAACTGATTTTTTTATTTTTGTTCTTCAATGTTATTATCCTTATTATTATCTTTTTAATAATTTTGGTTTATTAGTCAAAACAATATAGCTTTCTAAAATAAAGCTCAGTATATCATGTTAACTGTCATGAGAAGATGAAAAGAAAAAACCTCCCCACCCTCACTTCCCCAACCCATCCAAGCTGATGTCATAGTTGAGAGTAGAATGGTAGTTACTAGAAGTTGTAGAGAATAAGGAAAATGTGACCACAGGGGAAGGCTCAACAGTAAGTAACAACTTACAGTTAGGATCAAGAAATTCTGGTGTGCCATTATGGAGATGAATGATTTAGATGATGAGAATTTATTGGTTATTCCATGAAAGTAGAAGAAAATAGTCTGAAATTTTTCAGCAGGATGAAATGTTTATGTCTTTCTGTCACAGAAACCTATGTTTAACTAATAGAGAACAGGAGACTGGAAAGTAGGGTGCAGAAAATTAGAGACAGTAAAGATGTCCTGGAGGCTGAATATAATACAACTGGTTGAAGTATAATATTGAGCAAAAGGATCAGAAAGTTAGGTAGTCTCAGTTTATAGAGCCTGAAGTAAACCTATTGAGGTGTAAAGGTAAGGAGAAGTGATAATATGTCTTAGGATAATAAAGATTTGTTATTGTTTCTGCAGTGGTGGAGGTGACGATGGGGTGGGAAAATTGTGGTTGAGGTCAGAGTGGAGGCAGAGATTTCTTTCCAGGAGAGGGTAGTTGAACACGTGGGCTTATGGTGGGGGTGATAAAGGCCTAGGCTGAAAAAAATGAGCCACAGGAATGTTGATGACTGTGGGAGCACTGAGGAAAGAGAGAAGCTGGAGATAATAACTTTTAGGTCTATACTTTAGAGCAGTGAGTGTTCCTTTGCCACATGAGTTTGAGGCATACAGAAAAGGAAAGAAATTACCATAGTATCTAATATGTTCTACAAAGATAAAAAAGAACAGTTAACATCAAACTACAGCAGCATTCGTCATGTTCACAAATACATTTTGTCTTCCTAGGTACACCAACTATATTTTCAATTCTTTCTTGGAGCAAGGTAAAATAATATGGTTAACTTCTAGACAAAGGCACATAGGTGTAAATGGTATATGCTATTTCCAGCTCAATCCATGAAATCCTCTATTTTATTCCCCAGCATCTGTTCTGTGGCAACGTTGGAAACTACATATTTCAAATGTTAAACTGAAATATGGAAGAATCTTGTCTCTGTAAGTCACCATTTAGATGAATGAGAGCTTTCCTGAATAGCTATGCAACCAACTGAACTATGACTTAAAGTACAAATTAATCTTTATTGTTTTAATCATGATGAATATAGTGTGTGTTTAACCAGAATAGCCAGTGACACAAATACTTTGTTATTAATCAACTTTATGTTTAATGTAGCATCTGTTTAATGGATGGGCTAGCCCTAAAATCAAACTTCATTCATACTCTGGTGGAATAACCTGTATTGTTCCAATAGAATTTTAGAATCTTTTCCTGTTTACTCTCCTATTTTGCAATTTTAGTTGGTAAATTCTGGTGGTTAGATTTTAAAATAGAAAACTTGATGGTGTATTTTGTCTATTACTTTCTTATTTGAAAAAAATCCTTTAACAGGTAAAAGAGGCTTGAAGTATAGAACTTATTTCACAATATCCTGTCTGATATACTACTGGAAGTGTTAACAAATATAGTTTAGAGCCTCTCTTAGTTTTGCTTTATTTGACAGCCAGTAAATTTTCTGGTACTGTTAACATCTATGACTTCATAAATTGGAAATGTGGTCAGAAAGAGAAAAACATTATCACTTAGGAACTCATTCTGCAACAAGATTTTTACCCAAGATTTCATTGGAATTATGGTCTATATGTAGAATCTACCTTTATGGTTTAATGTTGAAATCTGAAGTGAAAGAATTAACTCTGAGTGTACTTTTGAAACCTCATTATTTTCATTATAGATTGAGTAGTAACAGGCAACATTCTGATTATAGAAACTAGATAGAAGTGATCTCTATAAACTAGATTGCTAAACTTAGTTTATGTCACTTTGTGTTTCCATTGAATGAAATTTTGGTGTGCTGGAATGTGGCAGCTAAGATACAGCTTAAACATTTTTCCAATATGAATCTGTATTACATTTGTGATTTTTGTGCTAGTGGATATTGAATCTGGTATCCTAAGCATGCTAAATAAGCATTGTCATTTAGCTATATCTCTAATCCTTTATATATATATATATATATATATATATAGAGAGAGAGAGAGAGAGAGAGAGAGAGAGATGAACATTTAAAACAGAAGCAACACAGAAAAGTATAAAAGTGAAGTGCATTTCAAAACCTACCAATAAGAAATAACTGTTAAAATTCTGAAGCAGATTTTTAGGCCTTCTTTATTTCCATACACAAAATACTCCTCAGTCATATATACAAACACACATATAAATAGAATCAAAATACAGATTTTTTGTAATTTGCAGTTTTACTCACAAACCTGAAATGTGCTTGTCTCATGTCAGTAAATAAGAATCACTTTAAAAACACTATAAAATAATCTTTTATAGAAAATACTATAATATAACTAGTGTGGAACACTGAGGTTTCTAGTTTTTCACCATTGTGAGATATACTGCCATTAATTAATGTGTATATGTTTGTTTTTTTGTGAGTAGTGTAAATTACTATGGTGAATTTGCTTGGAGGGAGGCAAACACGTTTAATATTTCTAAATTTAATAGTATTGGAAAGAGTGTATCTTTTATGGCCAATGCATAGGAAAGGCAGTAGAGAGCATAATGCCTAACATTATAGAAACTGAAATGAAGAAGTCCATGATCCTCTTTCATGAATAATAAGTAAAAATTACCTGAAATAAGTGATTGAATTTGTGCTGTTTCTAAAAGCTATTCTGACTCCTCTATTCCAATGTCAGACAAGATTTCCTGATACACAGGAAATGAAATTAATATGTAAATGTAGTATAGGTAGAAAGACGAGAAAAGATTTTTGTTGGAGTAGGATAACTGCCTAACTTGTTTGCATTCAGTCCTCTTCTCTTACTCTGAGATGATCTTGTGGAATCTGAGATTACACCTGAGATACTATTAGGATTTGTGAGGTTCTCCGTGAATTCCTCACATATTCTATCTGATTGCTTCACTGTTGTTTTATTTCCATGTGAAGAAGCTAGTAGCCTTTATTGTATTCATTTCCTTCTCTTCTTTCTTCTGCCTGTGTTAGGTGAAAAATACGCTGAAATGTTGAATCAGAAGTTGGAGGAGAGTTAGGGTTGAGAAACTAGGTTTGAGAGTCTCTATTATAGCAGCATTGACAACAAGAAAAACAAATTAGAGAACTAAGGGATCATCACTGGTTTGTCTTTTGCTTTCTGAATGTCTGATGGGTAACACCTCTGCATTGTGTAATGTGTTTTTTAGATCTAGGCTCTCTCTTTTGTGGCTTCCAGGGTTGTACTCTAAAATGTTTCAGCTCAGAAGAGAGACACATTTTCTATTGATTATAATTTGTTCTGCTTTCAGTCTGTGTTCACATGATATCAGCCTTATTACATGGAGACAGGAAAACTGAGTCAGCACACAGATAATAAGTACAACTTTAGGTAGAAATCAGGCCTGGAGTCATTTCACATCTCTATGGCTAACTGGTGTGTGAACTTAACAAGATTGTCAATGATTTTGTATTTAGCTTTCTTGTTTATAAAATAAAGATAAGAATATGTCTTTTCTACAAAAGATTATTTCATAGTTTTTCAAAGTGATTCTTATTTACTGACATGAAACAACTGCATTTCCGGTTGTTGAATAAGTGACTATACGTAAAGGCTCATAGCATATTCTTTTTTTGGGGGGGCGGGGGCATCTGGTCGTGGGGCCTGAACTCTGGGCCTGGGCGCTGTCCCTTAGCTCTTCAGCTCAAGGCTAACGCTCTACCACTTGAGCCCCAGCGCCACCTCCGGCTTTTTTCTTTTGCTTATGTGGAATCGAACCCAGAGCCTCACGCATGCAAGGCAAGCACTCTATCACTGAGCCACCGTCCCAGCCCCCATAGCATATTCTTAAGAAGTGAACCCAGATGCTGGTGGCTCACATGTATAAGCTTAGCTGCTCAAG